GACAGGGACAGACACAAATGCAGCTGAGTCCTGGACCCCAGGCACAAGGCAAGCACAACAACTCCACAAGTGACTTCCAGGAAGAGAGGGATCCCTGTAGTGACTTGGATGTAGGGGTCTCTCCAAAGCCTTACGCACTCATAGGCAGGGCTTTGGGGAGGTGATCGGCTCTGGGGGTGTTATCTGTGCCAGCGGATCAGTCTCCTAAGGAGTTCAAGTTCAATGTGATGGCAAGGGTGTGGCCTCAGGGCTGATCACCCATCCTCCTCCCTTGGTCTCTCCCTGCTTCCTGACCACCATGCCATGGTGAATTCTTCTCTGCTCTGCCCCTCTGCAATGCTGCCCTGCCTTGAAGCCGGACAGCTATATACTGAAACACCTACTATCTCTGAACCACCTTTTTTCCATTAAGTTCTGGGCATTGGGTACTGTTTCAGTGATAGGAAGGTGACTAAGACATTCTTTGTAGCCACAGGGAAGGCTGCCCTTCCCTGGAAGGCTGCCCAGAGGAAGTGAGAGTGGCCCAGGGCAGTCCCAGCCCAAAAGGCTTGAGTGTGGATTGGGCCACAAAAGAGAACTAGACTTGTGTAGGGAAGGAAGAAAAGTTGGAATCACGAATTGAGGCAGGCAGGACAGCCAAGAGGTTAGAGCTGCCAGTAAGGCCAGACAGGGCCAGAGCGCTGGGTGAAGGCAAAGAGGTTTGCTCTTAAGTCTATGGACACTCGGCCCTTCTGAGTGCGGGCCCCAGGGTCAGAGCTTGCCTGAGGCTCATGCTGATGACAGGTTTATGAAGTCAGCATCACCTCCCCAAACACGAGCGTGCCAGTGGAAAAGTGCTGGTGTGCAAGGCAGACAGGGTCGCCTTGGGCCAGTTTTCCAAGCCAACCTCATAGACAGTAGAATAACAGGCTAAGCTTGGGGACAGTGCATGGGCACTAATCTCAGTCATAAAGACTCTACTCCCAAGGCTCAGATTGGCTCATTAAATTACCCAAGGTCTCACAACTTGCAACTGGAGGAACTGAGCGAGGAAGCCAGGCAGTCTTACTGGCCTGTCACCATGCTGTGCCCCCTGCAAGAGGGCCTGACATATTCAGTACTACCTAAGAATGAGCAGTGGCAGAAGAAGGGCCCCACTCCAAGAGATTCCAAATGAGGTGGCCTTCTTGGTGACCGTGTTGTCCAGTTAACCTCCACTGCACTGTGCTCTCAGGGTTGGAAAAGACAGAGAAGAAAGTTGTCTGGAAACATTCAAAGGTTGGCTGTGGTGATGCCAGTTACAGAAAGGGACACTTTCAATTGGGGATGAGGCTGCAGGTTCCTGAGTGGAGGAAGAGCCTGTGTTTGGACATGACAGATTTGAGAAGTGACAGTCAAGTTCCTCTTCAGAGAAACAAATGGGAAACTACTTAAAATTTTATTTTCATCTTTTTAAAGCAAGTGACAGTAAAGTTCATTTATGTGCCTGGTATCCTCTCTACCAACAACAGCAACCTGTCCTTTTTTATGTCACTTGTCACACGATGGCAAAGACAGCTGACCGGGGGACAGGGACAGCTGAGCTGAGAGGTCAGGACCAGGTGCTCAAGCAGTAGGTGTGGAAGTTGGAAGCCAGAGAGGTGGGAAGCTGCATTCAGACTCCAAGTGAACAGGGAATTTAGCTGAGAAAACCCACAGAGGTCACAGTGCAACCCTTTGTCTCTTCCACCAAGTGAGAACATAGCAAAAACCAACCAGGAGTTGGGAAGTAGCTGGCACACACACACATGTGCTGGTGCCTTAGCCTGGGGCCTCCCAGCCTCTGCTACTGTAATACTAAAACTGTATTTGTTCCAAGGCACCCTGTTTACTGGATTTCCTTATGGTGGCCTGAAGGGACAAGGACAGCAGGTACCGTGCCTTGTACTCCTGCTTCCCAGAACTCCCTTTTGTGCTTGGCCTGACAGCACAGCCCAGAGCTAGCAGCATGATCACAGGCCAGAATATGTGTGTGCTAGCAGACCCAACAGCATCATTCTTTGTGAGGATTTGTCATGACTGGCCGGGGCTGGCTGGCTGGCTGGCCTTTCTCATTTCTTAACAAGGATCCTGCTCCCCTGCCCCACACAGCCAGCACACTGTACTTGCAGGCCCCAAAACTGTGGCTTGTCCCATTTTTGTGCCTGGGTTTTCTTAAGTCCTGACCATCTTACTTTGTCTCATATTTGCGAAGTCCTTGACCACCTCACCTCCCGCCCCGCGCTTGGACTTGACCCCGCTTCTCAGGTTTGGACCCTCGGCTCTGCCTACCACATACCTGGGGAATGGGGCAGCATGAATGACATGGGACATCTGTTCTTGGGCTCTCGCCCAAGTGCCAAGGATACCAGTTCTTAGGCCCTGGAATTCATGTGCAGACTCCAAGTGGGAAGACAAATGAGGAGCAGCATTTGTCTCTCAGGTACCATGCCTGGGCTCAATGCCCACTGCCATCTTAGAAAGCCTCAGCGATGGGGGAAAAGGAGGCCGGCACCCCTCCAGGCCACTCCCTGTGGACCCATGTCTTGGGTGCTGTGTCCCACAGCCCAGTGGGAGAGGAGCCCCCACCACAGAGTCCCAGGGCAGTTGGTAACCCTCCACCTCTGACTCTTGCTCCTCTTCCTCCTTCTCTAAGCTGGTAATAGTCAAGGTGGAAACTGTGGATGATAGCAACCCAGGAAGGCAGAAGGCCAGAGCCAAACAGCACACACCTGGGTTACCACAAAATGAGGGGGCCTCACTGTGTACCCCCAGGTGCTGGCCATGTTTGCCCCTTCACCACCACCAAGGTGAAGACGAAAAGGCAAGGAGCCACCAAAGGCCACTGCAGCCACAAGAGGACCTGGAGTGCAGGTCTATCTTTCTCTGGGGACATGACCAGCTCTAAGGCCATCTGTAACTGCCACACTTGCCCTCGTGGGGCCCAGCATGTGCCTCTGCACCCACACCTGCCCAGGTGACAGCGCTCATCTGTCTTCCAGTGCAGGCGGCTGATTACCATTAGAAGGAGTGGAGCCGGCGAAATGAAGACAGGTGGCCCCGGCTGCAGGCAGAGGCCAGCACGGCTAGCACAGGGGCTCTCAGTGCTGTGCACTTGGGAATAATGACACCACATGCAGAGGCCAGCCAGCAAGAAGGGCCAAATGTGGCCGACCCAGGCCTCATCATGGCTTTTCCTGTGCCTTGTTTACCCAGAAGAGGTGCACAGGGAGTGTGAATTCACAACCAGCTGGGATACGCAGGGCCACGCATCCGTGGGCAAGCAGGACCCAAGCACCAGAGAGCAGGGTGGCAGTAGCTGTGACTCCTTGGGGGTGAAGCCTATACCTCTTCCTTGGGAGGAGGAGCCCACCTGACTCCCAAAGGACCACGCAGGCTTTGTCACTTCTCCGCTGTTCCTCCTCCCCTCTTCTGGCTCCTCTCCCCTGACAGGGGAAGCTGCACTTTGGCTGCCACTGAGAGGTGTCTCTTGCCCATGCTCCCCACCTGGCTATAGAGACCAATGCCAGGTGTCATGTGCCTGGCAAGGTACCAGAAACAAGGGGAACAGTACATTCTCCTTGTGGTCCAGTGGGAGAGGGAAGAAGGAGAATGCGGTGAAAGCAGGGGCAAGTGGGGAAGGACATGAACCCAGGACACTGAGGGATTGTGGGAAACAGGAAGGTGGGTCTCAGCAGGGCCGCCTGCCCTGGTCACCCTTACATGTCCGCCTGCAGCCCAGCCAGGTTTGTGTGGACAGAACTGGCCACACAGATCATTCACGGTGTTGTCCCTGGACAGGATGTTCTCTCAGCAGGTCTGTTTCCAACCCCACAGCAAGCAACCCAGGACAACATCTAGGGAAACAGCACTGCCCTGGGGTCTCAACGGACTTCAGGGCTGAAGCCAGCCTCCTCTGTCCCTTGCTGTCTGGGCAAATCACTTGACTTCTCTGAGCTTCCTGTAGCAATAGGATGTAAAACTCCCAAGGTTCAATAATGGGCAGAGGGGCCGGGAAGATGGCTCAGTAGAATAAACACTTCCCTGGCAAGTGCAAGGACCTGAGTTCAATCCCCAGTTCCGCAAAAAAAAAAAAAAAAAAGGCAGAACAACACTAAAATGCTCCACTGGGAGCTGGCTCACAGCATGTGCTAATAGTTGGTGGCTAATTGCCAAGTGGGAACTGAAGGCTCAACCTCTGATTTTCAGGTGTGGAAAGAGACGGGAAGGCTATGACTAGGCTACAGGCACATACAGCACCCTCCAGTATAGCCAATATAACATTTCTATGACATCAAATCACAGAGGGGCTCCCCAGGGACCCTCACCTCCTTTAAAAAAAAGTAGACATTGACATTTTAGTATAAATCTCTGAAGTCTGATGACCAGGATCTCCCCAACTAAGTCCTGGGCAACTCCAATCCTAAGGTGTCATTAGAGATGGGCCTGAGGGGTATGTAAGAAGAGTAGCCCTCAGAACACAGCCATCAAATTCCCTCCTGTGGTGGACACTGCAGACTGTCTGATGAGCCCTCCCCAGGTGTCAAGGCTATGTGCTGGAATTCACAGCAACGTTGCCTGACCCCCCACGGCAGCTGGACAGGGCCTGCTGAGCCCAGCGGAGCTGATGATCAGGAGATGGAATGGACACCTACCCTTTTCTTCTACTTTTTTCTATTTACCTTAGTTCCCCATAGAACCAGTAGTTTGCCAAAGGGAGACTGGCAATTTTGGCAAAGCTTCTGATTGTAAGTCACTGTCTCAGTTTCTTTTGACTCGCTGGGACAAAATACCTGACACCCAAAATTAAGGAAGGAGAGATTTATTTAGCTCAGTTAGTGGAGGTTTCAGTCCATACTCGGCTGGCTCCAGGGCAGTGTGACACAAGGCAGAGGGCAGCAGTTCATGGGGGCAGAAAACAGCAAAGCACAGAGGAAGGGCAGCAGCTGCGGTGTCCATTAAGTCCCTCTCCCTTCCTTCCAGGCTGACTGCGAAGACCCGAGCTCCTCCAAGGAAGTGGCGCATGGAATCCCTCCTCAACTCCCTTTATATCCTTTTTATGCTGAGTCACTCTGGGGCAGGCCCCTAAGGCGGGGCTTCCACGCACTAGGGCATGAAACCCCTGAGCCCTCCAGCCTAGCCTTTAACTTCCCAAGTTGATGCAATATGTCCACCACTACAGTCGCCCACCACTCTGCAAAAAAACCTAATCAATCATTTACTCCTGAGCTGGACTTGGTCCAATCATCATCTGGACTGTCAGCACCCCCTCAATTCAGGTCTCTGGAAAATTCAGGGAGCAGAGGAGCTCTGTGTAGTCAGGAGATGGGGCTATACTACCTTTACCTCGCCTCTCAATTGAACTCCCTTCCCAGTTCCCCAAGGTAGAACAGGTGTTGAACGGGTAGAAAAGGTTGCCTAGGGCAATCAGCCTGAGGCCCTCCCAATGGTAGCAAGGATCCTGATGGACTGAGTAGTACCAGCCTCTGAGGCTTGGAGGAGGACTCCTATACCCACAGGCCTGAGGCTGTACAGTTAGGGCATCCCTCGGATCACAAGCCTGCATGTTGACCTCTGGGTTGGCCCAACAAGAATAGACTTCCTGTCTCAGCTTCTCTGTGCTCCACCTGCTGCCCCATGGCCCTTGGATTCCTGTCTGCTTAGCTGGGACCTCACATCCTGTCTCAGCTTTTCTGATGCCGGGGCTTGTTTCTGCCCAGAGCCCACCATACCTGTCTGACGCTGATAGCAGGGCTTCCCAGTTGGCCTTGCCAGGACCACCCTTGCCCCATGTCCCTTTGGTCTGCTGATACAATGGGACCCTGATGGATCTCACCTGGTCTTCCATATTTGCCCAGCACTCTGGGCAGGGTGGCCAGGGAGCCAAGCAAGAAGAGCCCAGAGTTCCTCAGGAAAATGGCAGCACAGAGAAGGGAGGGGTCAGAGGGGAAGCTGGGAGGGTGCTCGAGGAGAATGCAAATGCAATCATGATACAAACAGACTGCCTGTTGGCTCAATGTTCAGGCTCTGGCGTCAGATATCCAGGTCCTAATAACCTTGGGTAAGTCGAGTCACTTGCTTCATATCTGAGCACCACCTAAGTTTCCTCATCTGAAGCGCAGTGAGAACGAAACTGCAGAGCTTGCAATAAGAATCAAGACAAGGTGGGTGTAGCTCAGTACTACCCCTTCTCTCCTGGGCATAAACCCTGGATGCCATCCCCAGCAGCACAAATGAACAAAAAGGAAAATAGCTTCATATGGGCTTTGCCAGCATAGAGTAGACATTTTAAAAATAGACTCCGTCATTTCACTGGAGAATAGAGAAACCCTGTTTTAGATATAGCAGTGCCACCACCATGAAGACCTCTGGGCTGCTGCTGCTTCTTTTTATTTTTTTTCCAAACTCCTAGAGCCTTTCGGGGTGAAAGGACAATCAGGGAAGGGTGTAGTGGGGAGGACGGCATAAAGATAAGAACAGGAGTGTGTATCTAGTCCAGGCCTTGGTAGATCCTTGAAATACTATATTCATTCCATCTATGCAAGAAATAGAGGTATTCTGGCTGACCCAACTAAACAGTGACACAGCCTCAGGCGCTGGCCTGTGAATTACTCAATTATTCGTGTGCGAGCTGGTGAAGCTCGGGAGGGAAGCCCCTGGCCAACAGCTGCAGACGGCCTTCAGTGCTGCCCTTAGGCAAAGAGTCGGGCTGATCTACAGGGAGGGGAAATACTCTTTCTTCGCCAGCCCGGCCGGCCGGAAGGGCTGTGAGCCTTGGACTGCTGCATATTCTTTCTGTAAGAGTGGTGTGACAGCGAAGCCACTTCCAGACAAGAAGCAAGCATGGGCACGTGCCTATCAAAAACAAGGCCAGACGCTGCCTAGATTCAGGTTAGAGACTTAAGCTTGTTTGCTGTGCTGGGTCACAGGGTAACTGGCGGGGCGGGGTTCTGGAGCCATCTGCTCGGCTCTTCTGAATGGCTGTTTACCATAGCAACAGGCACTGCAGAGATCGCAAGCCAGCTCGGATGAGAATCTGCTCCCCAGGGAGAGCTCAAGGCTCTCATTTTCACTGTGTGAGAGCGAGCCCTCACACAGCACAGCCTTGAGCCGAAAGAAGCCCCACCGGGATCCCCACCCTCAGAGTTCCCCACCCTCCGAGTTCTCAGTGCTGGCCCCCGGCTCACTCTTCTCTCTCCGGGAGGAGTCTTAGCGCAGCACACCCCGGCATGGGTAGGAGAGTGCACACAGCGCAGTCTTTGCAGGCCACCTTCACAGAATCCTTTGCCACCCACTCCCAGCAGCAGGGGGCAGCAAGCCAGAGAAGGCCGCCATCCTTCACCCCTGCTGAGCCAAGCGCACTTCTGCGCCTTCTTGGCCACTTCCTTATCCCTGGGACTCAAATCAGATGCCAGCAACTTAGAGGAGGAGAGGTCTGTTTTGCTGCAACATTCAGGAGTTCTGTTCGGCAGCCTTGAACACAGAAATGGAATGCAGAAGGGCCTGGATGGAGGAAAACAGCTCATGACATCTGCATTCACGAAGCAGAGAGAGAGAGATTAGGGACAAGCACGAGAGGGAGACACACCTTTCTAGGTCATATCTCTGTGACCTGTCTCTAACTAGCCCCCACCTCCTAAATACGAGTCAGCCGTAGCACACCTATAATTCAGTCACCTTCCAAAAGCCCTTCCTCTGAGTACGTGAGGCTCATAGGGGACCTAAACCCTAACATTTTACCTCTAGTCACCAAAAGACTCATATTATCTCCTTATGCAAAATACATTTAGCCCATCTCTAAAAGTTGTCAAAGTCCTAACAGTTTTAGCATTGCATAAGAGTCCAAGTCCAAAGTCTCCTCTAGGCCCAAGGAAAATTCTTAGTTGTGAGCCTCTGTAAAAATTAAAAAGAATGTTACACACTGCTGACATACCATGACACAGGGTAAACATTCCCATTCCAAAAGAGGAATACATTTGATATAATAGATACAGTACAATAGAATACAATAGATAGAAATAGATGGGATCAAAGCAAAACTAAAACCCAGCAGGGCAAACATTAAATTCTATAGCTCCATGTCCAGCATCTGAGGCAAAGTTGTGAGCTTCAGTTTGGTGGCCCTGACTATGGCACTGCCTCTCGCAGCTTTCGTAGCTTTTCTCTTGGGGTAGCTTGGATCACTGCCTGAGGCCTTCCTTAGAGGACATTCTGGGTTCTCAGCTCCACGAACTTCCTAGGTCACTCTCCCACCTTCATGCACTGCCTTCTCAAGGTCACACTCCCTGGCCACTCAGGCCTTCTGAAATCTGGGGGGAGGCCCCATGACCCCACAACTGAACTCTGTGTGTCTATCGCCAGTACAACATGGATGATGCCAAGGTCTGCTGCCAGTGTGAGCAGTAGACAGGCTTCCTTGGATCATGGCTACAGAGGCTTCCAAGTACCTTGATGGTGGAGCACTGTGAATCAAATCCTGGAGAATCAATGCCCTAGGTTCCCTTTCTAGAGCAAGTTCCCTGGAACTCTCTTCTCACATAAAGGTTTTATAGCTTTGCCCCTGGAGCTTGCAAGGCTGGATGGGGGAGGGTCTTGGTGATTCCTGTGATGCCAGAAAGCCATCTTTCCTATTATCCTGATACAAAAGATTTCCCTTCTTTTTAATGCTAACCTTTTCAGCAACCAACATCCTCTGGGATAAAACTACAGGCTCTAACTTTACAATAACTTTCTTTATAAATGGGCTTTTTGTCCCCATTTCTCAATGTAAATTGTAACCATAACCTCTCTTTATGGTCTGTTAACAGCATTCTAACACAATTCTGGATCACCAGTTCTTTTCAAATTCCTCTTACAAACTCCAAAGACTCCTAAACCACATGGTCAGATATATTTACAGGGACAACCTTGGTACCCAAATCTCTCTCAGTCACTTTGTCATCGTTAGGACTCAATACCCACCATTTAAAGGCGAGGTCTACTTTGGCTCACAGTTCAGAATTTTCAGCCCATCTTTGACAGGCTTGAACAGGAAACACTAGAAGAAGAGGACAGAAGAAAGCTACTCATGTCATGGTGGTCAAGAAGCAGAGAAACAGAAGGGAGGAGCGAGAGAAACAGACATGCCTTTTCAGGCCACACATGTGACTTTCCCCTAACCAGCTCTAGCTCCTAACAGCAAGTCCGCTGTGGCACCTCCATGATTCAGTCACCTTCCAAAAGCCCCTGCCTCTGAGCACATGAGATTCTCAGGGGAACTTCTTGACCTCAGCTATAGCACACACTAAGGCTTTTGTGATCCTTCATCCCTGTGCCCAATTTGGATTTCGTATAGTTCTAGAGTAGCCTCTTTCATCCAAAGTCATACCTCCTTCCATGACAGTTCAAACTGGTGTTCAGAGGGGCCTCTTACCCCAAATTAGGACAGCCCCCCATCTTAGTCAATTTAGACTGCTATGCCATAATAACATAAACTAGGTAGCATATAAATAAGACAAATTTATTTCTTATAGTTCTAGAAGCTAAAGTGTATGGTCAAAGTACTGGTAGTCATTGTGGCGGAGAGCCTGCTTCTTGACTTGCTGTGTTGCTGCCTAGCAGAAAAGGTGGGAATAACTCTCCTGGGCTTCTCCTATGAAGACACTAATCCCATTACGAGGACTCTTTTCCCGTGAGACCAAAGGCTGTACCTCCTAATACCATCACCTTGGAGTGAGGACTTCAATGTAGAATTTGAGGAAAGGGGAGACAGAAACACTTAGGCCACAGAAGGAGGATGCGCGGCAGCTCAACTTCTCCCTCTATCCGGTCCTGCTTTCTTCCCTTCTTTCTCTCAGTGTTGATCAAATCATCCCTTCAGGAAACACAGCAATCAATACCAGGCTTCACAGATCAGTTTCAATACTGTTCACCCATGTGGATTCTTCTGCACAAGACTAAGTTCAAGTCCCAGTTTCACCTTCATTGGCCATGTAACTTTGAGCTCGTTCATTAACTTCTCTGGGCCTCAGCTTCCTTATGTGTACAGTAGGGTAATAATAATAGCATTTACCTGATAGCTATTGTGACAGTTAATACCTGTAAATCCCTTAGAGCACTGACATATGATAAATGCTAAAAATGTGAAGATATTACTATTACTTTTAATTCTTCATACTCCTGAAAAGGCTTCAACCTCCAGAGCAGTTTTCTCCC